AAAAAGGAAATTCTAGAATTCTTCGATATCGGCAATACCTGCCACGATCACTTAAAATTCACCTTTGAAATCTCAGATGAAAGTGTTAACTTTCTTGACACCACAATATACAAAGGCCTGAGATTCCAAGAGAATAAAGAGCTTGATATCCAATCAAATGTAAAACCCAAAAACAATTTTTAGTATTTACACAGAGAAAGCGCCCAATCCCTCAGTATTTAAAGGATTTATAAAAGGTGAATGCATCAGACATACAAGAAATACAAGTGATTCATATGGAACGCCAAATCAACATATATTTAAATATTTGAACCTATCTTCAAATAATTGCACCTATCTCCAAATGAATTGAAGATAGGTACAATTGAATTAAAGATAGGTACAATTGAATTAAAGATAGGTGTAAATAATTATACCTATCTCTAAATAATTAAACCTAGGTTCAAATAAATTACACCTACCCAAACAGAAAAAAACAGCCTATGGGATCATGCTAATGACTCGTGTGTAAATCATGGTTTTGATATGATTTCGGTATAGGAAAATTTCACATGCAAATGAGCTAATGGATCATGATTCTTGGATGATCTGTTAAACTTAACAACTTGCAAGAAAACCATGGTCCTTGTATGATCTGTTGTAGCTAACAACTCGTATTAAAACCATGGTCCTGGTATGATCTGTTGTAGCTAACAACTCATAGGACAATTATACATTCTTATACAATTTAAGTGAACATTTTAAAATTTGCAACAAACATCCCTTTAATATTTGATATACAATTTCAGTTACCAAAAATAAAATTAAAAAAAATATTATACATATATGTCACATGAACTATATCATCATGCAAATATAATCCGAACAATGGATCTTCCTTAATCAGGTGACAATTTAAAAAAAAACATTATCCAATCTATTCACTGAATTTTAAAAGAATAGAATCACAGAAATCCTTTCTTCTTAAAGAATAATCCGGCATTCATTGATGTCACTGCTTTATATTTATGATTCTGCAAAAAGCATGTAATTACAACATATGTTCACTATAGGATCAACAGAGTGGTGGATCTATTATTTAGAATCACAAACACTGAAAAGGCTCCCAAGTAGTCTGTCCTCGGATATAAGCTCTTGTTTTGTATAGCACATCATGAAAAGAAACGTAGAGAAAATGGTGTTTATTCATCGATCTACATATATATGATATAATTATCTTTAGATGATGAAAATAAGAAATATTCAAGTACTTTCCCCATTTCATTAATGAAAAGAATTAGATTAATCACCATGAGAATAATATTGCTGAAATGTAATATTATTAACGTACACAAATTTTGCCTTCAACAAAGGCGGGTCTTTCGAATGCGGCAATTTGAATGAAATTCAAATATGTTGATCATGTAGATGGAACTGACAACTAGCTGTAAAAGAATTTCATTTTTGATAAACATTTTATATAATGACTAACGTTACACATATACAACAAATACTTGAATCAAGGAGGTAAATTTGATGCTTAAATTAAGTTTTCAATTCAAATCCATGTAACGCTTTGTCTCTTCTACACATGCATATATATTATACAAAGAAAAATTCAATTATGTACTGGTAGAAGCTAGAAAACTTTTTTTTTTAAAGACCAATGATAAAGGAATTATACTCATCGAGCAGAGTTAATAGTCCAGCGCTTATTTTTGTTGCTTATATGATGCAAAGTTAAAACGCACACATCTTGTTTATCAGAATTCAAATTTTGGCCTAGATACGGTAAGCTGCAAACCACTATATACAACAACGTGCTGCCCAGCAGGAGACTTGTATAACAAGGTTACTATGACTCTGAAACTGACCAGTGAGCCAATCCTAATCTAATGCCTTAGAGTTAAATTGGGAGTGGATCACAAATATTATATGAAGACAAAGATTTTTAAAAAACCAAGCTGCGTTATTTAAACAGTGTTCTAATTTATTTATAAATTATTGTATTTATTTATTTGTTATTTCATTCGACTTTTTAAAAAATATTTATTGTCTTCAGTGAACTTTGTACCTACCTGTATGCATTTTAATTATCAAAACTTAATTTTCCTGTTCTCTTTTAAATATGGCTATTATTATTGATGTATGCATGTTGTTTGATTCTCTAAGCTGGAGTGAATTTAAAGCTAGCATTTCACCTATCATAGATGACAAAGTCAAACCATATCAGGATCATACAACCAATTCTGACAAAGTTAACAAATCATATAAAACTCATGATTCTAAACAAAGAAGTTAACAAATCATGTGTAACCCGTACGGAGTTTAAAGACAAGGTTAAGAAATCATATCAAAATCACAAACTTTTAGCAGTTAAAGTTAAAGAATCATTTCAAACTCATGTTCCTTTGTTTTCTAAGTTAATGGCACATGCCAGAATCGCAAGAAAATCATAGCAGACTCATAGCCAAGGAACAAACCACATCAGGATCATACTTTCTTAATTGTCATCTATGATTTCTGTATGATCCATTTAATGGATCATGTCTAAATCATAGTTCAAAATCATGAATTTGTGAGTTTGATATGATTTTTAAGTGATTTTGGCATGATTTGTTAAAAAAAAATTTTGTTTGGGTATCTTTAATGGAATTACACCTATCTTCAATTCAATTAAAGATAGGTTCAATTGAATTATACCTATCTTCAATTCATGCATTTGAAGATAGGTACAATTGATTTAAAGATAGGTACAATTGATTTGAAGATAGGTACAATTGTAACATATTCACAAACGATTTGAAAATAGGTACAATTCAATTATACCTAGGTTCAATTCGTTTTGTGTTATTGAAAATAATGAAAGCTCTCTCTAACAGCGACTTGAACATGGAGGGAACTGTACAGTGCATTTTTATGGGGAGTAGTAGTTATTGTCAGTATCTTTATAATTAAAGATAGGTTCAATTCAATTGCACCCATCTTTAAATCAATTATACCTATCTTTAATTCATGACATTTGCACCTATCTTCAAATCAATTGTACCTATCTTCAAATGAATTAGAGATAGGTATAATTGAATTAAACCTATCTTTAATTCATTTGGAGATAGGTACAATTGATTTGAAGATAGGTATAATTAATTGAAGATAGGTTCAAATATTTTAATGAATATATGTTAGATTCATCTATCCTAACAACGATTCTAGCAAACTTTAAGACACACTTGTCCAAGAGGGGTTACTCTGATAAGGAAGTTGATCCTATTATCACTGTAATGGGCAAAACAAACAGATAAAAGTACATGTATAAAAAAATCTTGAAAGAAAAAAAGGGGCAACCAAATGTTATGATTACCAAATACAATCCATATATTAAGGGTTTAAAAAACGCATTCTCAAACACTGGAACATCTTGCAAACAGACACAATTTCCAAAGAGATATTTATCGATGAACCAACAATCGCCTACAGTAAACACAAAAACATAGGCGAAATAATAATCAAGTCACGCTTACACTAGCTTAAGACACATAAAAAAGGTGGGCTCCTGATGATGGCGGGCCTTAGGAGCAAAAATATATTTCTCTTTAAAAACCGCCGAAACACTCTATGCTTCCATAATAACATTTTTATTAAATAACTCATAAGTGGTCTAAAGTGTCGGGCCCTAGTAGATTTACAACAAGCTTGGTTGATTGATGTCCTTTTTTCAAAACCTAGTAATATTAGGCGTGCTTGAAATAATGACAAAATTAATGATCTATGCTGTAAATTTTGAGATATAAAGGCAGATATCTCTTAACTTTAAAATACCATCACAGGATTAAATTACTTAGTATGTAGTTTTGAAAATGCAGCATTACACTGCATGTAAACGAAAATACACAATAGGTGTGCCCATGCTCGCACACTTGTAATATATATATATATATATATATATATATATATATATATATATATATATATATATATATATATATATATATATATATATATTGCTTTAAATCATTCACGGACTGCCTGAGAGATTGTGCTTAGGTCATTTCCAGACTGTTGTCTAGTAGACTGAGCAATAAAGCCTCAATTTAGTTTGTGCATATTGCCAGTTGTTCAACCCACACCTTGCAGAAAGTATTTTGTAAGAAATATGCATTGTGCCTCTTTGCAGAGTCAAGCTCACAGGCACTTGTTTCGTATACGGGGTACCCCGTATACGAATAAAATGCCTGTGGTCAAGCTTGAGGCTGAAAGAAATATTTCTCTTCTTTATATAATTACCAATTGGGCGCATTGTGATTAGCTTCAGAGGCAGCTACGTCTTAACAGCAAGCCTTTGAGGGGGGAGGGGGGCACGATGTAGCCCAACAAAAAGCTATGCACTAGCCTGGCTGTACAAAATATGGAGATAACGAACAGTATTCAATTCCATAATCCATTAAAATAATACAAATTGGTAGCAGAGCAAACGCGGACCTCCAAAAACATCAGAGGCGGGATCAGGTGCCATGGAAGAGTAAGCATCTCCTGTCGACTGGTCACACCCGCCTTGTGGTCCTTGTCATGATCAGGTGAACGGAAAAATCCGTAGAAATTTCAGTGTGTAAATAATGGCCTAACAATTAGTATGAAAAACGTCAGTCAGCATTTGACCTAATGATAGATTGTATTTGTTGACAAGGTCATTGTATTGACATAGCACTTGCGAAATGATGACTTCAAACGAGACTGTTGATATCCTTGTTTCATCAACTTGTTGATTTAAATTGTGAAATGTTTACAAACAAATGGACTCCAAAAGACTCAGAAAAGCACACTTGTGCCTTTGGCTCAGTGAGCTAAAAATTTGCAAAGAAAAAAGATATATTTGATACACACCTGATTTCATCTTATCACAAACCTTGTCTAAAAGAATTGAAACAATACTTTTCTCAGAAAAGGGGAGGTGGTAGCAAAAAGATATCCTTACCTTGCTAGATGAGACATAACTGACCTTGTATTTAATAATTTAACACATATTCAAGTGATGGGTTTTATTTGCCCTTAATTTAGCAATAACTTATTTTGCATTCTCAGTGCTACCCTAGTCGATTCTGGTACTTCAGGTACTTGTACAGTGCTAGCACTTAACTGAAACACACATTCAAATAATATAAAGTCAATGTACAATAATCCATTCCTGTACTTACTGTCTTGTAAGAAGAATTGTCTTACATGTAAGTTTATAGTATCTAATGACGTTAAAAAAAACAAATTCTCCAAAATAACTTTGAACTAACACAAAATGAAGCTGAAAAGCCTTTTACATGATTATTTTTGTTGTGTCATCTTAATTATACATAATTTACATTTCAAAATAATACTTAAACACAATCATGGTGAACCTTAAGGTCAAGTCTGCATTATTTTTTATAACCTATAACCCATGTATCTTGTGATAATTAAATACAAACAAAATGTCAAGTGAACAAAGATAGATTTTCTGTAAACAATGTTGTTTAAAGCAACAGAAAAAAAAATTATTTTTTCATTAAAATATTCAAAATCTTTTTGGGACAAATTGCACATGCTACATCTATGTGATATTTTTTAAGACTTTGACTTCTCAAAACAAATTTTAAAAAAAGCATCAGTGAGGGGTTCAACATGTATGCAGGGTTCACAGTTTAACAGAAATCTAAATCAGCTCCTAGTGGCCTTCAATGAAAAAGCTCACATATTATTTGATCTGATACACATCCTCTAAAAACATAACAGAAAATATTTTGCAATTTCTTTCTTATGAATTTCTGCTATTTAGTTGACATTATTGACTAACAATATGGCCAGTCCCCGAGACCATGTAACATCTTAAACTGACATTGAAATGTGCATATTGCACTGAAATTATTTAGAAGTTGAAATAAAAATGCTATTACCATCGCATCATCAAACTGATTTTGTCTGCAAATGAAGAATTTCATTTCATTAATAATGAACATCTTACAGACAATTGAAAATTGACTTAAGTCTAAGTTTGTTCCACGCTCCAAGGACAAGAAGCAATTGCCGTCAACAAAACATTCCCTTTCCTAAACAATAACCTAGTCTACTTCTTGAAAAAAATTGTTCAAACTAATGGCTTTATTTTGTACATTGTATTCAAACACTGTAAATATATCATTTTAACATGTATGATGTTTTACATCTATATTAATTTTTTGAACAAGTTAGCATATTTAGCTCATTTCTAAATGTTCTTATTTATGTGTATGTGCAAGACATTCAGCACTGTACTTGAATTAGCAGAAGCTGTTTTCTGACAAATGGGCTAATTAGAATACACAGCTAAATGTAATACATTTACAGTATCTAAATAAAAGAGTTTCACTCTACATTACAAATTGACCTGGAACCGTTCACAAATAAAAGGATAAAAATTAAAAAATACGGGCTTATAATACATGTATAAAAACATACACACATCAATAACTAGTTCAACAAGATTATTCATTACATTTGTAACTGATATATAAAAATATAAAGTACCCAGCATAACAATATTTAGTGACTAAATAATGGCTTCTGTACTGGATCCACCATCTATATTGACAAACAGTAAAATATGGCGTAGATTGGTAATTATGCTCTATATCTGACTTGTAATCTCTATTACACGAGTTTGACTGACACACAAACAAGTGCCCTGTCAGCAGACTTGTCAGCGATGTACTCTTCTGCCTGTGATCAGACTGGTGTTTTCTGTGGCTAAAACATCAAATGCTGTAAAGATAAATGAATTCTTTAAAATATATCTCCTCTTTCAACTACTTGTATTAAAATGTATTGTAATCATGCAGTATATTCCTTGCGCATGTCTCTTCTGAGGTCATGCATTAAACTGACCCTCTGGTGTCTTTCTTGATTTGATGAATTAAACATTGAAATGTACTACTTTTTTATCTCTGTATCAAAGTCATGCATTAAAATGATCTTCCATCTTCTCTTTAGTACATGTAATCGTACATTAGAATGTCATTCTCGCATCTTTTTATAAAAAAAACAAACAAGAGGCCCAAGGGCCTTAACGGTCACCTGAGTATAATACAACAATTTAGAAGTTAAATACACTGATAGATGAAGCATTGTTGCCCTAAAGCATGAAAAGTAGGAAGATCAGGATCAACAAAATAATTAGTCTAGTATTCAGTATCAACTCATAAATTAAGTTCTAATCTGTCCCCCACTTAACACTATCACCATGCAGACTATTATCAAACTATTAGTGCTTCTGTACTATTTTTAAACCCATATTAAAACCTCTAGCATTGACCTCTCTTATGGTCTTTGAAGAACTTTTAATAAGATAAGTTATTTTTGTCTCATTTTTATTTATCTATTACTTACAGGTCTACCTGATTATTAAAACTAAGAAAGTGCTTTTTTAATTATACGATAAACATTCTTGCATAATTATCTTATTCTATTTACCTTTCAAATACATTATTTACAGTGATTAATTATCAAAGATGAATAGAAAAGGGGAATAACTTCTCTCAGTAGAATACAAATTAATAGAGCCCTGCCAAGGACCAGAATGCTTAGACAAATGGTCCAGATGTTTAAAAATCTGGTAGAAATACGTTTACTCATATCATTTAAACTTTTACTCAGTTTGCTTCCGATATGCCCAGAAGCAGAGAAGAATTTCACAGGTACAATGCATTTTCACTACAGATTCAACAAAACCTTACCCTAACACCAGAACCCAAGACCAAGGGTCAAGAAATATACAAATTTGGAAGAGTTACCCTCATCTTCATAACTATGGACTTCAAAGAATTAACACTTTTCCACTATATTATCAAAAGCCCCCCCCCCCTCCCTTGTTATGCCAGAACCCTTGACCCTAGGACCACAAGATTTGAAAATTCTGTTCGAAGCTCCAATTTTCATCATAGCTAAGCAATTTATTTATCAGCTCAACACTATTCTAAGGAGCAGACAGGATTAATTAATGATTAATTAATAGAATTAATGCTTTTTCACTATATAACCAATAGACCCCCCCCCCTCCTCAAGAACCCCAAAAACTGAGGCCATATATTTAAAAATTTTGGAAGAGGCATCCTTGTCTATCATAATCATGCACTTAGTTTGTTTAAATAATCTCCAGTGGCAGAGAAGAAGATTTTCAAAGAATCAATGCATTTTCACTATATAACCAATAGAGCCCTGCCCTAACACCAGAACCCCTGACCCTGGGGCCATGAAATTCACAATTTTTGAAAAGGCATCCTTATGCATCATAACCATGCACTTAGTTTGTTTAAATAGTCTCCAGTAGCAGAGAAGAAGATTTTCAAAGAATCAATGCATTTTCACAATATAATCAATAAAGCCCCACCCTAACACCAGAACCCCTGACCCTGGGGCCATGAAATTCACAATTTTTGAAAAGGCATCCTTATGCATCATAACCATGCACTTAGTTTGTTTAAATAATCTCCAGTAGCAGAGAAGAAGATTTTCAAAGAATTAAAGCATTTTCACTATATAATCAATAGAGCCCCGCCCTAACACCAGAACCCCTGATCCTCGGGCCATGAAATTCACAATATTTGAAAAGGCACTTTTGCTCATCTTAACTATGTACTTAGTTACTTTATTTAATACCCAGGAGCAAAGAAGAAGATTTTCAAAGAATTAATGTATTTTCACTATATAATCTATAGAGCCCCACCCTAACACCAGAACCCCTGACCCTGGGGCCATGAATTTCACAATTTTGGAAGAGGCACTCTTGCTCATCATAACTATGTACTTAGCAGAGACATATAATAGAGGGACCGCTGACTCATTTTCGCGCCAAATTATCTTCCTGTTCTCGCAGCGGCCCCACCGGGAGGCATAGAAAGACTTCCTGTCATAACAGCTGCTGTGTTGTCTTCACAGCCTTTGGGGTAAATATTGAGAATATATTCTATATTTTATTATATATAGCCTGTACGTCAATTACTATTTACATAAGGTGATATCTTAGATGTATTTTTCCAGCTATAACGAGAATTTAAAAAGAAAAAAAACGTAGAATTTAGATCATCAGATGTTGACACGCAAGTCATGGTCACATTCGATACAATATAATTTGAGTTAAAATTTTGTCTTGTATAAAAGTTGTTCCCTTATATCATCGTAGACTCAGACCCGTAAGAACCGGTGAGCAAGGGGAAAATAATTTTGCCAGTATACAGGCACGTAGTTAAGTATCACTTTTTAAGGGGGGGATATTTGAAAATCTTGGACAAGCAAAAAAAAAAAAAAAAAAAGAGTAAAATTGTCAGAACTCGAAAATCCTATTTCATGGAGAAGGGGGGGGGGCAGCTTTCAGTGAATATTTTCAACAGTAAAAGTTTGTGTAAAAGGGTATGTTTGGAAAAGGGGAAAGCCCCCCCCCCCCCCCCCCCCCCCCGATACTACATGTTATATGTCAGATATGTCAAAGCCTAAACATTAGAAACTACAATTACTTTAATGTGTCCCCTAAAAAAATATTAAATTAAAGTCAGACAAACTTTTTTTGGCCCAACCAAAATTTCTAAAATAGGTTGTGTCCCAAAAACTGAAATTCCTTCCCACCTATATGGGACCTGAGAGTTTCTCAACATAAAACCTGATGATGGGGTGTATTATTTAATCATAAATGTTGAATGATTTTATGTAGTCTGTCATGTGATTGAATTTTTGTATATCCAGGAGTGAATATTAAATCAGCATGTTAATTTTTTACATCATGTAAACATGTACTCATTATTCAATTTTATGAACATTGGTTCTTCATGTAATCTCCAGGTATGAAATCACTTTCCTCAGCAACAGATACAGCTTGCCAGCAGTGGAAATGCAGAATGCTTATTTTAATGTGGGACTATATTCCCACCACCATAAATCTATTAAGTGAGTGGCAATTTTCTCACTATTTTGTAACAATGATTTAAAAAAATGTATCAACCTGCTACATGTAACTGTTAACATCTAAATTTGCATCAGGATCGATGTCGAATGCTGCCTTGATTTAAAGATAATTATACTCTTTGTGAGGGGATGTTCTGCCTTGTGGTGCCCTTGTTTTAGGGGGAGAATGTTTTTTTTATAACTGCTTTTGTAGTGTGTGTGTGTTTTTTTTTAAATATTCATATTTATAACGGACAATTGCCCTAACCCAGGTTTTACAAGTATATCTCATTGAGCTATTAAATTCTTTTATTCATTGATTTTGCATTTTCCTATTTTCAGATATTATGGTACCTCTACTGATTGATTCTACAAGATCCTGAAGTTTCCTGTTGTCTTCCCAAAAGACCTTGACCTGCTTTAGAAGGGTGTTTTAAGTGAGATCTTATGATGAATAAGGCGACGAATAGTAGTTTAGTAAGCTGCAAAGCTTAAAATTACCATGCTGCTGCATCAAACATGGCCATACTCGAAACGCCACTGAAACAAACATTGGCTTGTATCGGACTACTGTTGCATGGTTTTTCAACAATACTGCAACTGAATTAATGATATCCTTAACTTTTAATGGTAAAATCTGAGCTATCTCTCACTCCAGGACATTTGTAAAGGTTTTTTTTATGACTTTTGAGAATTTAATGTTTGAATATTTTTCCACTCCATGGACTGAAAATTCTGAGTAAAGAAAGCATACATGTGATGTATATTTCAAATTTCAATGTGATGCATATAAACTGGAATTTACTGCAAGGCCTAAATGTGAGACAATAAAACTAACTTTAAAACAACCAATACATATTTTTGTCTTTTTTGAACACCTACTTTTTCAAGTATATATATATATATATATATATATATATATAAACATATATATAAACATATATATATAGTCTTCCTGCATATAAGTACCACATAATAAGTCTAAGGTGTGCAACGAATAGAGGGCTCCTAAAACCATTAGCATTACTTAAGTTGCATAGACCGACTGCTCTGTGATGGGATTTTCTTGATCAGCATCACTTTAGTTAATTTTTTTTCAATTTTTTTTTTTTTTTTAAATGGCACTTGTAACAATGTTTTAAAAATGCAGCAAATGATAAAATGTATGAGTTGCTTGATTAGATTACAAGTCACAATCTATGCTTCGTTTCAGGATGGTGCATTTTGTGTTTTTAAATATGTTATAGGAAAACAAAAATAAAATAATATATTTTATATACCGCAATATGATATTTTTAAAAAAGGCTAATTTCAGCAATTTTTAATTTTAATGAATGTATACAGATAGGTTTATATAACAATATATAAAAAAAATACGGGAAATACACCAACCTAGCTGCATGAAATCTAGCACCTACGTACATGTACACATGTAGGAAACCAAAAATTAAAATAATGCATGCCAGTCCAAAACCAACACGGCAAACAAATGGCCTCGTCAAAAAAGGTCTTCTTATCCTACACTATGAAATACATGTTACAGTGTATTTCTTAGTGTAGAGGTTGTAAAGAAGTCAAGCCATTATGAACAAATGCAACTCAGTCGGGGTTAGAAGATCGATTCCATCTATTTACTGAAGATAAATTTGTTCTCAATTCTTTGTCGTCATGAAAACGAAAGTAACTCATCCCCCTGCGATTAATGCCACGAGTAAATTTTGCTTAAAATTGGAGTTGTAGCGATGTTTACTTCCCATTCTATGATGAAACGCCATACTGTTTATAGTTTCTATGCCTCCCGGTGAGGGCGCTGCGAAAATCGGAACATCATTTTCCATTCGGAATTAAAGTACTCAACCTAAAGTGAAAAGTCTAGAAACGTCCCGAATGAGTCAGCGGTCCCTCTATCATATGTCTCTTACTTAGTAACTTTATTTAATACCCAGGAGCACCCTGGGGCCAGAACCCCTGACCCTGGGGCCATGAATTTCACAATTTTGGTAGAGGGCTCAATGCTTATTACAATGATGCCAACAGTTTGACTGCTTGATGTCCAGGAGTAAAGAAGAAGATTTTTAAAGATTGCATTATTTTTGGTGGTTTTAGCCCCACCCCTCAGGCCCCAGGGGGGCAGTGACCATGAAATTCACAGTTTTTGTTCCCCTTCACCCATAGATGCTATATACCAAATTTGGTTGAAATTGGTTGAGCGGTTCTAGAGAAGAAGTTAAAAATGTTCAAAAGTTAACGCACAACGGACGACGACGGACGAAAACAGATAGCAATAGGTCACCTGAGTGACTCAGGTGACCTAAAAAACTTATGCATCAAATCAAATGCTTTACTCACCTCTCTCTTTAAGTCCTTTTCCAAAATTTTTGTAGACCGTTTTCAGTTCTATCATAATTAGTATCCACAGCAGTAGACCTAGTGTTCCTAAACAAAAAGAAAAAAAATATTTCCATAATGATAGCAATTATCTCTCTGTATGTAACAAAGACAGCTCTGGATATTTTTATCCACAACAGTAGCCCTAATGTACTTAAACACAGAAAAGGAAGCATTTCAAAAATGATTTCATGTATCGCTCAAAGATGTGACTATCTATGACTCCTATTTATCAAAACATTTCTTCACTGATTTTTTGAAGAGATAACGGTTATAGTTACCTGCTACCAGTGTGGAATATACTAGGATTTCTCCTTTATCCGTGTCTTTGTCATCCAACCTTTGATATTCCTGTTAGAAGATATCAATGTATCAATGGATAGTAGAATTCAAAGTAATGGCTATTTTTTCTCCATTATAAATTAAATGTATAGAGCAAAAACAAAGTGGAGCATGTAACATGATATTCTTCTGGTGGGAGGTAAAATCTCCCGATATTTCAACACCCTTCCATCCATCCTTATTAAAATTTCTCCTCAGGAGATAGATTTTATTTAAAAAGGCTTAATTAAGCCAAGATAACCAAAACTAAAGGCTGCAATTTTCGCCTAATTTGAAGTACATGTACATGTATTGCATTACAAGTATCAAGTGTACACTTTACAACAAATAGGCTTCTTCACTAACAATCTAACAATAAAGTTTGGTAGAATCGAATATCATCACTAAGGCATCCTCACAATGTCAAGGTTTTGTGATTTCAGAAATCAACTGTAGCTCAAGAATTTACATGTATCTCTTTCCAAACCAAGGTAAAATTTTGGGAGGAGCCTGTATATTTTTGAGAGCAGGAGATGATTGCTTGGACATTATAAACTTTAATTGTACATCATCCTCCATTTGTGCAATTCAAATCAAAAGCATATCCCTTAACAACCCAAATATTTTGCTTAGAATTTTCACTTGAAATTATTATTAAAACAAGGGAACATCTTCACATTTATGATCAAAAAAGGAAATCCACATATTACCGTGTAACAGAATCATCTATCAGAACTTACATGGATGATCTGGTAGATGTAGTAGGTGGGCTTTGCCAGACCCAGGAAAGCAAAGATCCAGGCAGCTGCCCTCCATTCTCTTCTCAACTAAAGAAAAAAAACATAGATAATCAAAGATTACCAAGCTCACCTCGACGAATGTTATCAATAAGTAAGGCAAATCTCACATCATATTTTTTTCCTAGTTAGTGTACATCCCAAGATCAATATCCATCAATATCAGATTCAGAATCCAAAGCAAGTCTGAAAGTGTCCATCCGTAGATACATCATCATCCATGCTAATTTGGTTAAAATATGGCTAAAATTCACTCATGTGGAAAATCTAGGTCAGATTCAGCATCCAAGCAGGTTAGTTAGTGTACATCCCTAGATGCATCATCCATGCAAGTTTGGTCCAGGTAGGGCTTATAGTTCCTTGGGAATGGACCTGCTCCAAAAACTTTAACCTGGTCACTCATCTGGAAAATCTACGTCAGATCCAGCATCCAAAGCAAGTGTGGTAGTGTCCATCCCTAGATGCATCATCCACTTGAGAATAGACTTGCTCCTAAAACTTTGACCGGGACGCCAATGCCGGGGGTATAGCATAAGCTCATCTCGACTTCGTCGAGGTGAGCTAAAAATGATACAAGCTTACTGGATATACATGTATTATATTCTATCACACAGGCCTCTAACATCTTATAACCTTTACCTCCCCCAGCAGGGAATTTCACAGATATAATGAGTTACATTTATAACAAAGCAAAATTGGTCCTCCTTGGCCCTTTGCTATAGGGATATATCACAGTAATATTCTTTCAAATTATAGCCTTATATTCACTACATGCAGACATTTTACTTTGTAATTGTGATTTGTTTATTTATATCACATATTACCCACTGATTACAAACTTAGATATTTATGTATTGGAGATAATGTACAAGAATAATTAGAATAATGCTTGTTGTTTTTTGCTCAATTATTCCAATGTGCATCATCTTGCAAAATCAACAAGTAAACATATGACTTGTGTTGACATTGACAGTATTCTTTAGATGATTGTCCTGCAGCTTAAGGCAAAAGAATAATTAGGTAACCAGTTTACTTACAGTGAACCAACCAAAGATGTTCCACAGCACAGAGTATGGCAGTCCCACAGACAGCGCCACCTGCTGGAACACATCAAGTTTTGTTCCATCTTTCAAAACCAAAATTACGAAGCTTGCCTGTATAGTTTAAGTAAAAAGTTAATGTTTACAACTGTTTTTCACATATTTATAAAAGCAAATAAAAAAATCTGAAAAGCTAAGATTATCCATTTAAAATTTCATGGAGAGTGAGAGGCTATTGTGATGCCTTTTCACTTCTGTGTAAGGAGAGTTGTTCTGATGCAAGGAGTATGTCAATTATAAGAAATCTTTTATTTTTGTGAGGCGTTTAATTGTTATTCCTGCCTGAATGTACAGTTGTACCATGACTGCACTCTCTACATGGGCCACAATGCTCACTCAAGTCACTGTGGTCCTGCTGTTTTTTCAAAAGATTTTTTCCCTCTTTATCCCCATGAAAAATTTTATCCCAATATTGTGACACATACCTAGAATTAACCACAGGGTCCATAATTTGAAACAAAAAGAAAAAAGAGAAAAAAAACTAAAACCTTCAATTAATATGGGAATGTTTTCATAATAGTATGATTTAGTTTGGCCCTGCTGCTACTGAAAAGATATGTTCCTTTAAATCCCTTGTTAAACTCTTTTCACCTATGTAACCCAACCTAACTCCCAGGACCCTTACATGTATTTGGTCAAAGTTGAATCTACACTTTGAGGATTCTTGCATACTAACATGACTTCATTGTTTTTTAGAATATTTTTATCTAAAATTTTCTTTCCTATATAATCCATTGTAACACTATGATCCCCTATTGTGGCCCCAACCTAACCCCCAGGGTAATGATTTGAACAAACTTGATTCTACATAATGTCAGGAAAGTTTCATTTATTAAGTTTCATCTTTTCTAGCCCAGCAGTTCTTGAGAAGATTTTTTTTAAAAAATGTCATTAATTATCACTAATTCTTAATGATTTTCCTTTGAAAGAGGGTGTGGCCCTTCATTTGAACGAAATTTTAATCCCCTGCTCACAAGGATGCTTTGAGGTAAGTTTGGTTGAAATTGACCAAGCGGTTCTTGAGAAGATGAAAATGTGAGAAGTTTACAAACAGATGTCAGACAAAATGTGATCCAAAAAGCTCAGGTTAATCCTTATAAACTCTTTGAAATTTGAATGAATTTTCAAAATTAATAAATAATGATTTTCAGGGGTATCTCCATTACTTACTGTAACTTGGATATCGAACTTCAACATAGAGGAAAAGATTGAGGCTTGTTTGTACAAATCTGAAAATAAAATTTCATGGTTTTGTAAGATGTACAATATCAATCACAAAGTGTTAAACATAAGAAGACTATACCCAAAGTAGTTTAGGTTAAAAATGTTAATAAATTTTTCCTTTAAACAAGGGCACAATGTAGACTCAATAACCAAATCAAACATATGTTTTGTAATATACAGTCAAACCTCGTTATCTCGAACCCAAGGGGACCGAGAAAATACTTCGAGATAACCGAGGAATCGAGATATCCAGGGTCAAATACTTAAGAAATTAACAGCTGGGACGTCAAAATCACTTCGACATATCCATGGTATTTGAGATAACCGTGTTCGAGATACCGAAGTTCAACTGTATATATAATAAATAAATATTAACACAAGGATGTCTAGCCATTATAATTAAATCAGCTGTTTACATAAAATTACTGAAACTTACACTGTAGGTATTCAGATGCTCCAACAATTCTGAATGTTAAATAACCAAAGTGTCTGGCCACTGACCACGCTAGGACGATATTGGGGGGAGCCAGTACAATGGCTAAAATCATCCTCACCTAAGTCAATTATAAAATTAAACCACTTTTTTAAATTAAGAAAAAAACAAACAAACAAACAAAACAAATAAATGTAGAGTGTACTGCAAGAAAATACTTCAAGAGTCTGGCATTGATTATTTTTTTCCAGATGTTATTTTACATGCAAGGGAAATGTAGAAAGTTGTCATCTATAAATACAAGAGAAGGACACATGAATCCCTTTCTCCCCCCCCCCCCCCCATCCACTACTCACCCATCAACCCCCTGCACAAAACGTCTACTCACTAATATAGATTTTTATAAATAATTAGGAAAATTTACAGAAGATTGTGAGAAAATGAAAATCATGCAAATTAATTTAGTTCATTATGTTAATTTGAATGATTCCTAGCTCTTTGATTGGCTGAAATCCAACACTGTAGAAAAATACTATGCTATGGTCACCTGCACATGACCTTCCAGGTGAACATTTCAAAGAATTTATTTTTTCTACATTAGATTAAAAATAGATTGAGAATTTTTTAACTAATACTAATTATAAGTTAAGAAAAGTTATATCACCTGCACTAGACTTCCACTCAGGTGAACGTAACATTCAGGCACGTTGTATCTGTAGGGAAGGGGGGTGGGGCTGCCCCCAATTCCCACTTTTTTCTGAACATTAATTTTTACTATCAATTTAGTATGAAAATGTATACTGAAAGGCTGCCCCCCCCCCCCCACTTTTGCTGATCAAGTATAGTCAAATCCCTCTTCTGTTCATGGACTTTAACCCCCCCCCCCCCCCCACCCCAACCCCAGAAATAAGATTTTGATGTTAAGAGAGTTTTTTTCTTGGCTTGTCAAAGAGTTTTATTCAGGTAAGTTGTCAAAATGTGTGATTGTTCCCTCAAAAGAAACTTAAATAAAATTTAGGAAACATACAGTTTTTCAGCTGCATGGATAACTCTCTTTTGACTGAGTGATTCATCCTGAGTGGTAGCTCCTATGTCCAATATTTTTGGTACATATATGGAGATTGCATCCATATCCAATATTTAGTTTTATATTCAATAGAATACTAGTACCAGTTTTAGTGTACTCCTTCCATCAACATTGACGATGTACTCCACAACACAGTACACCAGCACAACAAGGATGGCCAGTATCAGGACATATAGCTCGTACTTCTTCTCTCGCAGCAGGCCATGAAATGCGTAAAATATACAGAACACTGGAAATAAACACGTAAAGTTATACAGAACACTGGAAATAAACACATAAAATTATACAGAACACTAGAAATAAACACGTAAAATTATACAGAACACTGAAAATAAACACGTAAAATTATACAGAACACTGGAAATAAACACGTAAAATTATACAGAACACTGGAAATAAACACGTAAAATTATACAGAACACTGGAAATAAACACGTAAAATTATACAGAACAGGTGAAATATACTGAATACTGGGAAAAAAGTAAAATGTACAAAAGATTGGAAAAACCAGAGGTACTGTGAGCACTGCGCTGACACAAAATGATAACCCTTGCACCAATATGAGTATAATTAAAGGCCAAGACCATTTTTGGTGTGGGAAACCCCAAATATCTGTCCAACCATAATGTAAAATATGATGTGCACATTGGCACTATGTGAAAAAGATTCTGGAAAAGTCTCATTTAATTTTATTCTAATCAATGGTATAGGAGGAGTTGCAGAAAAGAGATGGGTACCCCCTATTATACATGTACATCTTCCCAAGTCAAGGGTTTCTGATCCACTCCTCTCTCTGCATAAACCCTTGACCAAATAGTCAAACTTTGACAGGTAAGAAATGCACTGAGTGGCCTCATAAAAGTTTGCATGAGCCAATCAAAAACATTGTTTAGTTTAACCTGAAACTAAATTGTAAACAGAAAAACATGCCAGTTTTAGTCCCAACAAAAACATTTTTACCATTAAATAATCAAGTTAAAGGCTTGTCTCAGCCTTGGAGTTAATGTTATGCTGAATTTATTATCGACTTTCAATATTGTCTCACATTCTCTATTTAATTCGCTTACTCTAATTGGTCAATAGCAGAGGTCAGTATGATTTAAAATGAGGAGTTGTGGATTGGAGATGGGTACCATCAATGTTATAGAAAGAATGGCAGTGTTCATGTTTTGCAGTGAGAAACCTCAAATATCTGCCCGATTCAAATGTAAAATAGGAGGTCCACTATGACACTATGTAACAAAGATTCTGTGAATGTCTCATCAAATTTTATTCAGTGGTATAGGAGGAGTTGCGGATAAGAGATGGGTACCCCCAAGTGTTACAGACGGACGAATACACAGAAGGAGAGACACCCCATCACTATATACCTGCGCTTTTCAAGCTGGGGGTATAGAAAGTTGACATATAGAACAATGGGAAAAAAGTACAAGAGGCTCAAGGGCCTTAATGGTCACCTGAGTATAATACAACAATTTAGAAGTTAAATACACTGATAGATGAAGCATTGTTGCCCTAAACCAAGAGAAGTAGGAAGATTAGGATCAACAAAATAATTAGTCTAGTATTCAGTATCAACTCATAAATTAAGTTCTAATCTGTCCCCTACTTAACATTATCACCATGCAGACTATTATCAAACTATTAGTGCTTCTGTACTATTTTTAAACCCATATTAAGACCTCTAGCATTGACCTCTCTTACGGTCTTTGAAGAACTTTTAATAAGATAAGTTATTTTTGTCTCATTTTTATTTATCTATTACTTACAGGTCTACCTGATTATTAAAACTAAGAAAGTACTTTTTTAATTATACGATAAACATTCTTGCATAATTATCTTATTCTATTAACTTTTCAAATACATTATTTACAGTGATTAATTATCAAAGGTGAATGGAAAAGGGGAATAACTTCTCTCAGTAGAATACAAGTTAATAGAGCCCTGCCCAGGACCAGAATGCTTAGACGAATGGTCCAGATGTTAAAAATCTGGTAGAAATACGCTTACTCATATCATTTAAACTTCTACTCAGTTTGCTTCTGATATGCCCAGAAGCAGAGAAGAATTTCACAGGTACAATGCATTTTCACTACAGATTCAACAAAGCTTTACCCTAACACCAGAACCCAAGACCAAGGGTCAAGAAATTTACAAATTTGGAAGAGTTACCCTCAACATCATAACTATGGACTTCAAAGAATTAACACTTTTCCACTATATTATCAAAAGCCCCCCCACCCCCCCTCGTTATGCCAGAACCCCTGACCCTAGGACCACAAGATTTAACAAGAGGCCCATGGGCCACATCGCTCACCTGAGTAACTTTGGCCATGCTGTTCATTACCAGACTCCCCCCTTGTAATACCTATTGTGGCCCCACCCTCCCCCCAGGGGCCATGATTTGAACAATTTAGAATCTACACTACCCCAGGATGCTTCCACATAAGTTTCAGTTTTTCTGGTCCAGTGGTTCTTGAGAAGATTTTTAAAGATTTTTCCTATATATTTCAATGTAAAACTTCGGATTCCCCCTATTGTGGCCCCGCCCTATCCCCTGGGGTCATGATTTGAACAATTTAGAGTGTACACTACTTGAGGATGCTTCCACATAAGTTTCAGCTTTTCTGGCCCAGTGGTTCTTGAGAAGAAGATTTTTAAAGATTTTTCCTATATATTTCAATGTAAAACTTGTATTTCCTATTGTGGCCCAGCCCTACCCCCGGGGGTCATGATTTTTACAATTTAGAATCTACACTACCCCAGGATGCTTCCACATAAGTTTCAGCTTTTCTGGTCCAGTGGTTCTTGAGAAAAAGAATTTTCCTATATATTTCAATGTAAAACTTGGATTCCCTATTGTGGCCCCGCCCTACCCCCGGGGGTCATGATTTGAACAATTTAGAATCTACACTACCCCAGGATGCTTCCACATAAGTTTCAGCTTTTCTGGTCCAGTGGTTCTTGAGAAGAAGATTTTTAAAGATTTTTCCTATATATTTCAATGTAAAACTTGGATTCCCTATTGTGGCCCCGCCCTACCCCCGGGGGTCATGATTTTTACAATTTAGAATCTACACTATCCCAGGATGCTTCCACATAAGTTTCAGCTTTTCTGGCCCAGTGGTTCTTGAGAAGAAGATTTTTAAAGATTTTTCCTATGTATTTCTATGTAAAACATTGATTCCACATTGTGGCCCCGCCCTACCCCCGGGGGTCATGATTTTTACAATTTAGAATCTACACTACACTAGGATGCTTCCATATAAGTTTCAGCTTTACTGGCCCTGTGGTTCTTGAGAAGAAGATTTTTTAATGACCCCACCCTATTTTTGTCTTCTCTTGATTATCTCCCCTTGTGAGGGGACTTGGCCCTTCATTTCAACAATTTAAATTCCCCTTCACCCAAGGATGCTTTGTACCAAGTTTGGTCAAAATTGGCCCAGTGGTTCTTGAGAAGAAGTCAAAAATATGAAAAGTTTACAGACGGATGGACAGACAGACAGAGGGACAGACAGACGGACAGACGGACGGACGGACGACGGACAAAATGTGATCAGAAAAGCTCACTTGAGCCTTCGGCTCAGGTGAGCTAAAAATTCTGTTCGAAGCTCCCATTTTCATCATAGCTAAGCAATTTATTTATCAGCTCAACACTTAAAGGAGCAGACAGGATTAGTTAATGATTAATTAATAGAATTAATGCTTTTTCACTATATAATCAATAGAGCCCCCCCCCCCCCCCTCAAGAACCCCCAAAACTGAGGCCATATATTTAAAAATTTTGAAAGAGGCATCCTTGTCTATCAAATCATGCACTTAGTTTGTTTAAATAATCTCCAGTAGCAGAGAAGAAGATTTTCAGAGAATCAATGCATTTTCACTATATAATCAATAGAGCCCCACCCTAACACCAGAACCCCTGACCCTGGGGCCATGAAATTCACAATTTTTGAAAAGGCATCCTTATGCATCATAACCATGCACTTAGTTTGTTTAAATAGTCTCCAGTAGCAGAGAAGAAGATTTTCAAAGAATCAATGCATTTTCACTATATAATCAATAGAGCCCCACCCTAACACCAGAACCCCTGACCCTGGGGCCATGAAATTCACAATTTCTGAAAAGGCATCCTTATGCATCATAACCATGCACTAAGTTTGTTTAAATAGTCTCCAGGAGCAGAGAAGAAGATTTTCAAAGAATTAAAGCATTTTCACTATATAATCAATAGAGCCCCGCCCTAACACCAGAACCCCTTACCCAGGGGCCATGGCTTTCACAATTCTGGAAGAGGCCTACCTCCTCATCATAACTATGTACTTAGTTTATCACCTTAATGCCCAGGAGCAGAGGAGAAGATTTTCAAAGAATTAATGCATTTTCACTATATAGTTGATAGAGCCCCGCCCTAACACCAGAACCCCTAACCCTGGGGCCATGAAATTCACAATTTTGGAAAAGGTACTCTTGCTCATCATAACTATGTACTTAATTACTTTATTAAATATCCAGAAGCAGAGAAGAAGATTTTCAAAGAATTAATGCATTTTCACTATATAATCAATAGAGCCCTGCCCTAACACCAGAACCCCAGACCCTGGGGCCATGAAATTCACAATTTTGGAAAAGGCACTTTTGCTCATCATAACTATGTACTTAGTTACTTTATTTAATACCCAGGAGCAAAGAAGAAGATTTTCAAAGAATTAATGCTTTTTTCACTATATAATCTATAGTGCCCCGCCCTAACACCAGAACCCCTGACCCTGGGGCCATGAATTTCACAATTTTGGAAGAGGCACTCTTGCTCATCATTACTATGTACTTAGTTACTTTATTTAATACCCAGGAGCAGAGAAGAAGATTTTCAAAGAATTAATGCATTTTCACTATATAATCAATAGAGCCCCGCCCTAACACCAGAACCCCTGACCCTGGGGCCATGAATTTCACAATTTTGGAAGAGGCACTCTTGCTCATCATAACTATGTACTTAGTAACTTTATTTAATACCCAGGAGCAGAGAAGAAGATTTTCAAAGAAATAATGCACTTTCACTATATGATCTATATAGCCCCTCCCTGGGGCCAGAACCCCTGACCCTGGGGCCATGAATTTCACAATTTTGGTAGAGGGCTCAATGCTTATTACAATGATGCCAACAGTTTGACTGCTTGATGTTCAGGAGTAAAGAAGAAGATTTTTAAAGATTGCATTATTTTTGGTGGTTTTAGCCCCACCCCTCAGGCCCCGGGGGGGGGGGGGGGGGGGCAGGGACCATGAAATTCACAATTTTTGTTCCCCTTCACCCATATATGCTATATACCAAATTTGGTTGAAATTGGTTGAGCGGTTCTAGAGAAGAAGTTAAAAATGTTCAAAAGTTAACGCACGACGGACGACGCACGACGACGGACGAAAACAGATAGCAATAGGTCACCTGAGTGACTCAGGTGACCTAAAAATATACAAAACATGTACTGGATAAAATAGGTTAAATACAGAACACAGGAAAATAAACAGTCAAGCTAATCAAGTGAATTTGTGTCTCCCGCTTAAGAAAGAAAGAAAAGGGTGGTAGACCTCCAAGAAATGCAGATGGAGAAAAAAAAAACAGATTGACCTTGACCTTTAAGCCTTTTGGCCTTAAAGTCAACAGGGATCTTTTGGGGGGTTAAAGAAATTCATGACCTTAAGCTTTATTAAAAAACCAAGAAGAAACAAAGTTATCACATGAAAAGTAGGTAACTATGCAATTTATGAATTTCTGACCTTGGTCTTTGACCATATGACCTCAAAATCAATAGGGATTTCTTTATTAGTTATATTGACTTACTGTAATAAATTTCAATGCAAATCCTCAAAGAAAACGAAAGTTATCAACAGGAAACCTTTTTTCTGCAATGTATGAATTTTTGACCTTCCCCTTTGACCTATTGATCATTAGGGTTCTTTTTTAGGCCACAGAGAGTTGTAATATAAAATTTCATTGCAAAAGCTCAAAGGCTTTTTCAATTTGAGATATTGTCCAGACACGAAAGTGATAAAAACAGATGGAATGTATGAATTTCTGATCCTGATCTTTGACCTTTTAATCTCAAAATCAGTAGGGATCTTTTTTAAGATATGAGAGTTATGAAAACTTGCTATAAAATTACACTGAAGAAGCTCAAAGAAAACTAAAGTTATCATCTGGAAACATTATTTTGCAATGTATGAATTTCTGACCTTGACTTTTGACTTTTTGACCTCAAAATTCTCTGACTATCTTCTTCTAGGCCTTCTTTAGTGTTCTTTAGGCTAATAGGGAGTTGTGATATAAAATTCCATTGCAAAAACTCAAAGGTTTTTTGAGATATCATCCGGAATCGAAAGTATTACACAGAATGACAGACAAACAGATGGACAGACAGAGGACAGACCCAAATTAATATATCCCACTTTCAGTAAAAGCAGGAACAATACATATTAACAGATACAAATTAACTGTGGAAAAGATGGGTACTAGTGAGACATCTCAACATTAATACAGATGTCATCTACTATAATGAAAATATATACCACAGAGGAAAACATGAAAGTCACACATTTACTGTTACATTGTTTGAATACCAAGTAGTTGCATCACTCAGCAGTATAACTAAAGCTGAGAAAAAAAAACTGAAAAGCACAATAAAAGTTGCCTATAAGCACTTGGGCTGCGATTAGCACTTAAAAAACATTCCCACCTCTGGTACTATATGTACAGGCCTGTCATGGCTTAATTAACCATTTTTGGTGCAGGATCCTATACCCTTTCATTTGGAAAATTTAAATCGAAAAAAGTGGAGATGTTGATTACATATTATGTTTAACTATTGCTTAAAGATTAAATTGCAGATTTATTCCCTATTTACATCTTTACGAGTCATTATAATTTCAAAATTCAAGTTATTTTTATGCAAAATCACTGAAAAATTCAATTTACATGTACTTGTCACTTGGGAAATTTTACCTAAAATTTTTTTTTGGGAGGGGGGGAGTCAATTTTCAATTGGGACAGGATGCTTTTACCGGACCTGGATGCAGTGGGTATTAATTAAGCCCTGTCACTCTGTACATTTACAGCTAATTTTAATATCTATTATCTGGCAGTTATCTTATAGTGCCCACCTCCCAGTATAAATTACACTGTAGTTCACTTTTTAAACATTATACACCTATTTACTGGCTATAAGGACAATAGCAAGTTTATTGTCCCCCAAGACAAACAATGCATCTCTTCTTTGAAAAATTTATCATATCCTATAGAGAGCAGTGACCTTCTGATGTGTTGATTAATTAAAATATTGTTTTATGTAGTATTTGAACAAGAAATGGGGAGGAGGAGGGGAACTGCATATAGCGCTGATTGATGAAGAAACAAATTTTCTTCTTAGTACAAGGGATTAAGAACAAGGAGTTCAAGAAAAAAATAGGAAATTCTAAAATAAGTATCTCTAAGTCTTTCTAGAGAGCTTCGAAATAGACAAATACTGATTTACCGGTACACACAGTTTGCTAGTGCATGTGAACACACTGCAAAAATTACGTTTTTATGATTTATACATCATAAGTAAAATTTGTATACATGCAAAATTTACACCTGTAAGTAAATGAGTGCATGTGAACAGGGCTATGATATATTTATCTACACATGCCTACATTTTACTCATTAACACACTTTAATGACTATAATATCATAACTTCCTGATCTGAGGAGACTGTAGTATTACCTACTCACTACTCTGAAACATTTCTAACATTATAATAAATTTTCTCTTTAGTTATCACTTAAGAATGCAAAGTGCCAATTGAAAGCAGTGTGTCAATGAACAGATATGTGATTATCATGCATTGTCTAATACATGTGAAAATATGGATACAGATGGTCAAATCATTAACATGTGACTGCTTGTTCATTGTGACACATGACAGACAACAGATCTAGATCATCCTCCTGAACAGGTGCTTGGTTTGTCACACAGCTAAGAATCTATGTCATTAACAGGAGCTTAATAGTTGTGACAGACCAAGTCTTTTACAATATATTACCTCCATTTATAATGAGAATGAGTGCAAACGTAAAATCAGAACTGTCCGAATTGCCGTCCTTGATGACGGTGATGAAGCGATAAAGAGTCAGTCCCAGCGCTGTCAAAATATTTACAATACTGACTACCAGGAACACAGTCTCCTTGGCGTCCAAACCAGCGCAGGTCCTGGTCTGAAAAGGAGATAATCATCACCTGTCACTGCATGATCAAAGCATGATAGAGGATATATTTAGGAAGTTTAATTAAATGGTCACAAACTCACAGTATCTTTGAAATATATTGCCTTTATTTAAATATTATCTACTGATATTGTATTTTCAGAAAACTCTTTAAAGCTGTATAATATCAACAAGTGCAAGAATCCATGTGTGCTCAAAATAATTACTATAGGTAAATAAATAAATATATCTGCAAATAGTCTTTACCCAAGGGTGCGCATGGTAATACTATTTTTGATATTATATTTCAATTTAAATGATATGGTTTAAAATAAGTTAACATATAGATGTACATGCAGTTTGATTTATGTTTTCTACACAAGTTTGTTTATGATGCATAAGTTCTTCAAGGTGTACATGTATACATGTGCGACTCGTTTCCTTTTTGATACCGTCGTTTTCAGATATAAGATTTGACACAGTGTTTTTGAATTTTCAGTTCAAATTCACAATGTTATGTAATAAAAAAGAAAGCCTAAAAATTTCTAAATCATGTTTTCGATCACGTGTTTACATCTGATTCAGAAGGCCTTGTGACAAGATAAACAGATAAACACTCCTTATACCTGTGGGACATTCCTTCATATACCTTTGTAAAGTTCATTTACCTGACCAAGAGGCGTGGCGATCGCTGGCTTGGGGGCATCCTTGATTCCATACTTTGAGTATTCCGTCGATTCTTCGACGTTATTGTCGCTCGACATAATCGTTTTCTTACATTTTCCAGCCTAAAGTGAAAGTAGAGTTCCTGAATGAAAAAATCATGTGATCAAAACAATCACGATTGGTTTATTCAGAGACATATAATAGAGGGACCGCTGACTCATTTTCGCGCCAAATTATCTTCCTGTTTTCGCAGCGCCCCCACCGGGAGGCATAGAAAGACTTCCTGTCATAACAGCTGCTGTGTTGTCTTCACAGCCTTTGGGGTAAATATTGCGAATATATTCTATATTTTATTATATATAGCCTGTACGTCAATTACTATTTACATAAGGTGATATCCTAGATGTATTTTTCCAGCTATAACGAGAATTAAAAAAAAACGTAGAACTTTAGATCATCAGATGTTGACACGCAAGTCATGGTCACATCGATACAATAATTTGAGTTAAAATTTTGTCTTGTATAAAAGTTGTTCCCTTGTATTATCATGATAATTGTAGACTCAGGCCCGTAACAACCGGTGAGCAAGGGGAAAATAATTTTGCCAGTATACAGGCACGTAGTTAAGTATCATTTTTTAAGGGGTGGGGGTGGGGTGGTTATATTTGAAAATCTTGGACAAGCAACAACAAAAAAAAAAAAAAGAGTAAAATTGTCAGAATTCGAAAATCCTATTTCATGGAGAAGGGGGGCAGCTTTCAGTTGATATTTTTTTTAATAGTAAAATGTTGTGTAAAAGGGTATGTTTGGAAAAGGGGAAAGCCCCCCCCCCCCCCCCCGATACTACATGTTACATGTCAGAGTGTATACAAAGCCTAAACATTAGAAACTACAATTACTTTAATATGTCCCCTAAAAAAATATTAAATTAAAGTTAGACAAACTTTTTTTTTGGCTCAACCAAATTTTCTAAAATAGGTTGTGTCCAAAAAACTGAAATTCCTTCCCACCTATGGGGCCTGAGAGTTTCTCAACATAAGACCTGATGATAGTCATGGGATGTATTATTTTTTCATAAATGTTGAATGGTTTTATGTAGTCTGTCATGTGATTGAATTTTTGTATATCCAAGAATGAATAATCAGCATGTTCATTTTTTACATAATGTAAACATGTACTCATTATTCAATTTTATGAAAATTGGTTCTTCATGTTATCTCCAGGTATGAAATCACTTTCCTCAGCAAGATACAGCTTGCCAGCAGTGGAAATGCAGAATGCTTATTTTAATGTGGGACTTTATTCCCACCACCATAAATCTATCAAGTGAGTAGCAATTTTCTTTCTATTATGATTAATCTATTCTGATTTTTAAAAAAAATGTATCAACCTGCTACATGTAACTGTTAACATCTAAATTTGCATCAGGATCAATGTCGAATGCTGCCTTGATTTAAAGATAATTATGCTCTTTGTGAGGGGATGCTCCGCCTTGCGGTGCCCTTGTTTTAGGGGGAGAATGTTTTTTTAAAACTGCTTTTGTAGTGTGTGTGAGTGTTTTTTTTTTTAAATATACCTATTTATAATAGACAAATGCCCTAACCCAGGTTTTACAAGTATATCTCACTGAGCTATTAAATTCTTTTATTTATTGATTTTGCATTTTCCTATTTTCAGTTATTATGGTACCTCTACTGATTGATTCTACAAGATTCTGAAGTTTCCTGTTGTCCTCCAAAAAGACCTTGACCTGCTTTATAAGGGTGTTTTAAGTGAGATCTTAGGATGAATAAGGCGACAAATCGTAGTTTAGTAAGCTGTGAAGCTTAAAGTTGTACCATGCTGCTGCATCAAACATGGCCAAACTCGAAATGCCACTGAAACAAACATTGGCTTGTATCGCACTACTGTTTTTTCAACAGTACTTCAACTGAGTTAATGATATCCGTAACTTTTAATGGTAAAATCTGAGCTATCTCTCACTCCAGGATATTTGTAAAGGTTTTTTTTTGACTTCCGAGAATTTAATGATTGAATATTTTTCCACAAATTTTTTCCACTCCTTGGACTGTAAATTCTGAGTAAAGAAAAGCATGTATGTGATGTACATTTCAAATTTCAATGTGATGCATATAAACTGGAATTTACTGCAAGGCCTAAATGTGTGACAATAAAACTAACTTTAAGTCAAACAATTCATATTTTTGTCTTTTTAGAACACCTACTTTTTCAAGTATATATATATATATATATATATATATACAATGTTATGTAGATACAAGAGTACATGTTTGTCATTTAGATTTGAATAAAAGACAAAGTAACCAAGTACCTCTACATATTCACAAAGAGTCTTGATCATCCTCTCTATCATTTGTTTTTACATTCAGAAGAATTGTATAAATCTTTGGTACATATAAATATGCTTTGTAGTAAATGCAGGGTTTTTGTATGGGCAAAACATTCTTTAACTGTGTCAGCTTGCAGGGCTGATATACATGTAAATAAAGTATTCATTAAATTTTATTTTGGCTTAATAAATGTTAGGAATGCTTGAATTGATTAATATCAATGAATATACTGTAAATTTTAAACGATTTCATTTTTATTTAGAATGTAGATCAGAAGGTCAGTCTTCCTGCATATAAGTACCACATAATAAGTCTAAGGTGTGCAATGAATACAGGGCTCCTAAAACCATTAGTATTACTTAAGTTGCATAGACCGAGTGCTCTGTGATGGGGTTTTCTTGATCAGCATCACTTTAGTTAATTTTTTTTCAATTGACTTTTTTTTTTTGCAAAATGGCACTTGTAACAATGTTTTAAAAATGCAGTAAATGATAAAATGTGTGAGTTGCTTGATTAGATTACAAGTCACAATCTATGCTTGGTTTCAGGATGGTGTATTTTGTGTTTTTAGATACGTTATGGGAAAACAAAAATAAAATAATATACTTTATATACTGCAATATGATATTTTTAAAAAAGGCTAATTTCAGCAATTTTTTATTTTGATTTTAATGAATGTATACAGATATATTTATATAACGATATATAAAAAAAAATACGGGAAATACACCAACCTATAGCTGCATGAAATCTAGCACCTATACGTACATGTAGGTAACCACTACATACAATAATGCATGCCAGTGGAAAACCGACACGGCAAACAAATGGCCTCTTCAAAAAAGGTCTTCTTATCCTACACTATAAAATACATGTTACAGTGTATTTCTCAGTGTAGAGGTTGTAAAGAAGACAAGCCATCATGAACAAATGCAACTGGAGTCGGGGTAAGAAGATCGATTCCATCTATTTACTGTAGATAAATTTGTTCTCAATTCTTTGTCGTCATGAAAACGAAAGTAACTCATCCCCCCCCCCCCCCACGATTAATGCCACGAGTAAATTTTGCTTAAAATTGGAGTTGTAGCGATGTTTACTATCCATTCTATGATGAAACGCCATACTGTTTATAGTTTCTATGCCTCCCGGTGAGGGCGCTGCGAAAATCGGAACATCATTTTCCATTCGGAATTAAAATACCCAACTTAAAGTGAGAAGTCAAGAAACGTCCCGAATGAGTCAGCGGTCCCTCTGTTATATGTCTCTGGTTTATTTCCGGTGAACGGAAATGACCGAGTACGCTCGGAACATCTCTAATGACACATTTCCCGCCAGAGTTCGAAGGTATGAAAGAAGGTGTGATTTTAATGCCTCCATATCGAAGATTCGGGGGTATATAGTTTTTGCCCTGTCCGTCCATCTGTCTGTCTGTTTTTCTGTTTGTCCGCAAAAACTTTAACATTGCCCATAACTTTTGATTGGTTAGAGCTATGGCTTTCATATTTCACGTGTACTTTGGGTACCACCATATTTGACCTCTTGACCTTGACCTTGACCCTGGAGTTTGAACCAGTTTTGCAGGAGTTTGAACCAGTTTTGCAAAATTTTACCCAATTTTAACCTTTGCCATAACTTTTGAACGGTTGGTGCTAGGGCTTTCTTACTTCACAATGACATGTATAATCCTTGTGACAAGACCTTCCTTTGGATACCAACAACTTTGACCTTTTGACCTAGACCTAGGAGTTTGACCTACTTTGGAAAAAAACTTTAACCTTGGCCATAACTTTGGAATGGTTGGTGCTAGGTCTTTCATACTTCACATGTGTAATCCTTTTGACAAGACCTTCCTTTGGATACCAACAACTTTGACCCTTTGACCTTGACTTGGAGTTTGACCTACTTTAGGAAAACTTTAACCTTGGCCATTACTTTTGAACAGTTGGTGCTAGGGCTTTAATACTTCACATATGTAATTCTTTGTGACAAGACCTTTCTTTGGATACCAACAACTTTGACCCTTTGACCTTGACCTTGGAATTTGACCTACTTTTGAAAAACCTTTTCCTTATCTATTCAATGGTTGCTGGTAGAGCTTTCATATTTGACAGGTATATTCCTCGAGACAAGACCTTACTTTGTGTACCAACATATTTGATTTGCATTTGAGAAAGTTTAACCTTTGCTTCAAGTTGCCATACGGGGGCATCAGTGTTTCACAAACACATCTTGTTACTCAATATTTATATCCACCACTTGAAAAACCGGAGCTATGGGGGTGTCAGTTAAGCTTGGGAGGTACCCATTGATATAGGGGGTGTCAGTTAAGCTTGGGAGGTACCCATGTCTTATCCAGAACTCCTCCTAATTACCACTGAACAAAATTTAATGAGACTCTCCCAGGCCAGAATCTTTATGTTTTGATCAGACAAGACATTTGGGATTTCCCATAGCAAAATAAGGACTGACTTTGTCATTATATTCATATGGGAGATTGGGTATCATTTTGTGGGCTCAGTCAATCTACTTTATTGAACATTCCTATTATTACAATAAAATGAATAATACAAGTTTCGAAATCAACTTGTTTAAGTACTAGGCCTATAGTGCTTACGGACTAGTGACTTGTAACTGTTCAATTTTCTTTTGGGTAGACTATACCCATCCCCAGGCCCGCAAGATCTGCATGCTCGTTGCACTATGACGTAAGATTTACGTCACTCAACTGATAACAGTCAAGGGCATCATGGAAACAAGTTATTTTTAAAATAATTTGTTTAAGTTAT